TGCTGCTGCTGCTGCTGCTGCTGCTGCTGCTGCTGCAGGCATGCTGGGGGCGCTGCCGTACGTGGGCCTCACGCTGGCCTCGCCCTTCGCCGGCCGCGTCTTCGCGCAGTGGTCTTCGAAGCGGGTGGTTGGGGTGTCTGTGCTGCTGAACGCGTTGGCCACTTTGCTGCTGGTGCTGACGGCGCTGCTGCAGCGGGAGCCCAGCAGCAGCAGCAGCAGCAGCAGCGGCAGCGGCGGCGGGGTGCTGGGCGCGGCTGCTGCGGGCGCGGCGGAGCTGGCGGGGGCCGCGGGCGGCGCGGACGGCGGGGCGGCGGCGGACGCAGCAGCAGCAGCAGCAGCAGCAGCAGCAGCAGCAGCAGGAGGCGCAGCAGGCTCGTTTTTTCGGCTGGCGGACTTCTCTTTCGGAGACCTAACTGCTTCCGCGCTGCTGCTGCTCGCCAGCCGCCTCCTTGTCGGCCTAACTCAATCTTTTTTTGTCATTTATGCTCCCGTTTGGGTCGACGAATTCGCCCCCCCCAAAAAGGCCACTCTCTGGATGGGGCTCATCCAGGGCGCCGCGGTCGTCGGGGTCACTGTCAGCTGCTGCTGCTGCTGCTGCTGCTGCTGCTGCTGCGGCTGCGGCTGGCCTTGTTTCTGCTGCTGCGGCTGGGCTGCTGCTGTTCTTGTTTCTGCTGTTGCTGCTCCTGCGGCGGGCGCCGCTGCTGCAGCCGGGGGCTCTGCTGCTGCTGCTGCTGCTGCTGTTTCGCACATTTTGGGAGTTTGCTTCTGCTGCTGCTTGCAGGTGGGCTATCTGACTGCGGGAATTCTCTCTGTCTATTTGGGCTTCAGCTGGAGAGCAGCAATTTGTGTTCAAGTTTCATTTCTTTTTCTTTTAGCAGCTTTAGTTTTTGCTTTTCCTAAACACTACGTCGACACTCCCTGGGGCCCCGGGGCCCTGGGGGCCCCTGCATGCGCCGCGGAGGCCAAAGTTGCTGCAGCAAAGGAGCCAGAGGCGACGGACTGCGGGGCGCTGCAGCAGCAGCAGCAGCAGCGGCAGCAGCTGCGGGATGCGCCTCTGGCGGCGGACTTCGGGGTGGAGCTGGGAGTTATGGGCAGCCCCGGGAGCCGCTGCAGCGCGCCTCTGCAAGGCCTGCAGCCGCCGCAGCAGCAGCTGCAGCAGCAGCTGCAGCAGCAGCAGCAGCAGCTGCATGCAGAGGAAGACAAGGACTCTCCGCTGGCGAACTCCCCAGCAGCAGCAACTCACAGAAGAAGATCAGCAGAACCCTTAACCCCCACAACTTACAGCCCCGTCACAGGCGAGGGGGGCCCCCCTGAGGGGCCCCCCTCTGGTGGCAGCAGCGCAGCACAAATGAGCCAGAAGCGAGCTGCGCTGCATCTTTTGATGTAAGTAGAAGTTGTTTTCAAGTTTGCTGCTGCTGCTTTAGCAGCAGCAGCAGCAGTGTTGCTGCGCACCAGTTTCGCCGGCTGCTGCTGCGGCAGCTGCGGCCGCGTTCGCTGCTGCTGCTGCTGCTGCAGCGTCGCTGCGCGTGCGTCCCACGCAGCTGCTGCTGCACCACTAGTGCCGCATTGCTGCTGCTGCGCTTTCTGTCTGGTTGCTGCACGCCGCCGTCCGAGATCGGAAGAGCGGTTCAGCAGGA